CATAAATGATTAAAAAAACATGAAGAGAGTGAGAGTGGGGAGTTTCAGGTTTGGTTGGATGACTAAAAGACATGAAGAGAGTAAGAAATGGGAGTTTCAGGTAGGGTTGGGAAGAGAGGGAGGACTGAGACCTTGAGGGGAAGAAAGAGGTGTTACTTGAATGCGAACAATCTTGTTGCTACTGACGACAACCACCGAATCAACGAAGAGTTGGTGAAGCAACGAAAAACGACCGAAGTAGTGATGATGAATGGGTTTGAATACAACCACTGTGGCAAAAAAAGAGACAGAAATACAACTACTGTGGCAGAGAGAGAGAGAGAGAGAGAGAGAGAGAGAGAGAGAGAGAGAAATAGTGTTGATGAAATGGGTTTTGGGCCGTGAAAGGAGAGTGAAATGGGTTTGAAATGTTTTGATATTCTTTCAACTTTCAAGCTATATCCAACGGTGAAGATAAGAAGATAGTAAATCTAAAATGAATCTCAACCTTCAAATCCATTGCCACTTAGGATTGATGTCCCATCCAGATTCAAAATCTGAGTTGTTTTGTTTTATATATATATATATATATATATAATTAATGGAGCATAAAAAGAAATACGGGGATGGAGGATGTATATTATCATAAAATGGTGATTAAAAAAAAATAATGACAAATAAGCATTTCTCCATACGATTTTACATTTCATGAATAATTAAGAATATATAATCTTGTAATCATAATTAATAGGATTGATTATGTAACCATAAAAATTCGTAATTAGTAGGATTTAATTTAATTTTATTACTATTAACTAGCACAATAGTAGACTATCTCCAATGGTTTATCAGATTGATCACTAGATTTAAATTTGATGAAAAATGATAGCTTTTATCTCTGCAATGGTTTCACCAAAATGATATCAAATTGAGAAGCTGAACAAAACTTTCACCAAATTGAGGAGTTGGGTCAGATTTCACAATTTTATTGTGCGTTTACGTTGGAGGTGGGTCCCACTGGTCGTCCAGATAACAGCACATTCTATCAAACATCTAAACACTCTCCTATCTCATCTGCTTTGCTTGCTTGTCTTCCATCATATTGTTGATTTTTGCGTTTCTTCCTTCATAGAAGTACAAGATGCTCATAGGTCTCTCTCTTTCTCTCTCCATGTATATATATATGTAATGTATTTGTTATATTTGATTTTATGGTTGGCCTTTAAGTGTTCGATGAATTTCCCCATTGAAAATTTTAGGTTGCGTTTGGTAGAATTTTGTAAATATGATTTGAGAGTATGAGTTGTATTTTGAGTTTGTGAGTTGTGGAATTATGATTTGAGTGTAGAAAATTTGTTTAGTTATGTTTTTTGAATAAAGTGTTGAATTGAGTTTTGAATTGAGTGTGGAATTGAGTTTTGAAAGTTTGATTTGACATGTGAAGCAAGAAAATTTGTTTGGTTATGAGTTTTGAAAAAAGTTTTCAAAACTTAATTCAAATTATTATAACTCATAACAAAACACACTAGTTTCACACTATTAAAAATTCTGATCAACACTCATAACCAAATTCTTTTTAAAATTCAATTAAAAAAAATTATTATTAACGTAAAATAACATTAATCAATTTTTTAATTGAAAATACTACAAAGGAAATAATTTTTTTTCAAAATAAATATTCAAAAAATTTACATCATAAATATTTAAATAATCTAAAAAATTTAATAAGTAAAAAATTAAAATAAATATTCAAAAAATTTAAATCGTAAAAATTTAAATAATTTAAATATTCAAAAAATTTAAATAATTTAAAATGTTAATATTTTAAATTTAAAAACAACTCTACACTCAAATCGCAACCAAACACATTCATATGTCTCTCTCTCTCTCTCTCTCTCTCTCTCTCTCTCTCTCTCTCTCTCTCTCCATGTATATATATATGTAATGTATTTGTTATATTTGATTTTATGGTTGGCCTTTAAGTGTTCGATGAAATTCCCAATTGAAAATTTTAGGTTGCGTTTGGTAGAATTTTGTAAATATGATTTGAGAGTATGAGTTGTATTTTGAGTTTGTGAGTTGTGGAATTATGATTTGAGTGTAGAAAATTTGTTTAGTTATGACTTTTGAATAAAGTGTTGAATTGAGTTTTGAATTGAGTGTGGAATTGAGTTTTGAAAGTTTGATTTGACATGTGAAGTAAGAAAAATTGTTTGGTTATGAGTTTTGAAAAAAATTTTCAAAACTTAATTTAAATTATTATAACTCATAACAAAACACACTAGTTTCACACTATTAAAAATTTTGATCAACACTCATAACCAAATTCTTTTTAAAATTCAATTAAAAAAAATTATTATTAACGTAAAATAACATTAATCAATTTTTTAATTGAAAATACTACAAAGGAAATAATTTTTTTTCAAAATAAATATTCAAAAAATTTACATCATAAATATTTAAATAATCTAAAAAATTTAATAAGTAAAAAGTTAAAATAAATATTCAAAAAATTTAAATCGTAAAAATTTAAATAATTTAAATATTCAAAAAATTTAAATAATTTAAAATGTTAATATTTTACATTTAAAAACAACATTATACTCAAATCATAATCAAACACATAAAACAAAACTCAATTAAGAAATAATTTTTAAAACTTATAACCAAACACATAACTTTAAACTCCATACTACTTTCACAACTCTACACTCAAATCGTAACCACATACATAACATAAAATTAAAATATTTAACTAAAGGTTATATAAAATTGTGATCAGGCCCAGATTTTAATTTATTGTTAACTTAATTATCCTCTGTATGTGTGTTTTTATAATTGATATATTTCTCTCGGAGTGATTAATAAATAGCCTTCAAACTCTATTTTTATAAAATAGAGTTTGAATTTATTTTTATAAAATATTTTAAAATTTAAAAAATTAAAATCGTAATATTTTGAAATTAAAATATTTAAAAATATTCAAAAAATTAAAAAAATCGTAACATATTTAAATATTAAATATTTAAAATCTTAAAAAAATTAAAATATTGATTTGAATTGAGTTTTGAATTATGTGTTTGGTTATGAGTTTTGAAAAGTAATGATTATATTTTGAATTGAGTTTTGAGAAATGGGTGTAGAATTATGATTTGAAAGTTTCAAACAAACAACACACTCAAATCAATGGGTAGAATTATATTTTGAGAGGCTTACTAAACGGAGTCTTAAGTTTTCGGTTGTGTGTAAAGCATAATGAGGGAGTAATTCATAAATTGTCTCGTAGTAAATTCTTATTTTTTTTACAATTTCATATATGTTACCAATATTCCCTTGGTTTTTTTAGGACTAAATTTGGGAAGTCACCTTTAACCAGAGTCATAAACTTACACCAGAGACAAATCAATGGTATGCTTCACTTTTTTTTTCGAATTGTCGTAATGTCATGTTTTGAAGTACTGTATTCAGGTCCAAAAAGAAATGGAAAAGATTAATGGGGGAAAAAGGAAGTGGCAAAGGATTTGAGGGAAACATAAATGGAAGGAAAAAAAAAAAAAAATCATTTTGCTCCTGCTGGTCAACCGACTGGTCGTCCTCTCAGACATTCGGTGTTTTGATAAAAATTACAATAATTACCATTAGAGCGACTAATATCATATAAAGGAATTGGCCATATTTTTACTCAAATTTAATAAATTTTTTGATGAACCATTAGAAATGCTCTTAGTACATGTTTTTTTTATTATTTGTACACAATATCATTAAAACTACATTGAACTATGTGCCATTTTGGCAACAAATAAAAAAGTTGCATTTTTTCAAACCTTTCCAAAACGCCACAACTTCCCAAAACGCCAAACCTCCCATTTGGAAAGACTCAAAAAAGCCACTTAAAAATTTACCAAACTATCCTTTGAAACATTATAATTAATTAATTCAAAAAAGTGTTTTTAATTAAAAAAATAAGGATATTTTGGTCATTTTAGAGTGATGTGATACTTTTAAAAAATATTAAACTAAAAATCAAAAAAATTAACTTTTTACCAACTTCTCAAATTACTTTTAAAAAAGTCAAAAAACTTGATAAAAAATCAAAAATTAATTTTTTACCAACTTCCCAAGATACCGCTCTGTTGAATCCCACATTTTTTCAATTTTGACTGTGGCAAGTGGAGTGTCCAAGCCTGGCAAGTCAGCGTAGGTGGCAATTTGAAGGTGCTGTTTGGTGTAACTGTTAAAACAGATTATAGATTATAGCTTAACAGATTATAGATTATGACTTTAATCAGAAGCTGTTAATCTGTTTGGTATAGCTGTTGGATTATAGATTTAAGTTGCTGAGTAGTGTTTGTTAAATAAGCTGTGAAGTAACTTTTTCAATTAATTTTTATTTTTTATTATTCACTATTTGTCTACATTTTTCATAAAAAATAATAATAATATTTTATAGTCTATTTGAGTCTTTTTCTATTTTAAAAAAAATAAAAAATAAAAAAGTCTAAGAGTATAACCGTGAATTAACATGTCCACAGCAGAAGCTGATAATCAGAAGCAAGGGGTGAGCAGCATTTCAGAATCAACTTTTTTGACTTAAAATAAGCTGTTAGAATCAGAAGCTGTTTGAAATAAGTTTAACCAAACAGTCCAAAATAACTTTTTAAAAGCCAAAAGTTATAAACTGGCTCAAAAAAGCCCCACCAAACACCCCCGAAAAGTCCAACCAGCTTACTCATCCAGCTTGACCCGCCTTGTTTAATTTTTTGAGAAACACAAACCAAACAAGGCCTATATATTTAAAATATAAAAAATAAAATTTTCTTAAAGATTTTTAAATATTAAAAAAATAAATTTCAAAATACAACTCAAAATTCAAAATATAACTCAATTTTTTTTCAATACATTCTTCAAAATTTATAATCAAACAAATTTTTTCTTTTTAAAATTCAAAACTCAAAACATAACTTCATCATTTATTTGATTATAAAACTAAACCAAACGCAGCCTTCGGTATGTCCAGGTTCACACAGTGTAGGATACACTCACACACACGATCAATTCTTAAACAAACCTAATCCAGACCCAACATCTCATCTGATTCATCGATTGCTTTATCTCCCCTCCTCCTCCTCCTCCTCCTCCTCCTCCTCCGTTCCTTGCTGATCGGCGCCGCCGCCGCTGCTGCTCTTGCTAGTCGCCGCCGTTGGCCTTTCCGGCGCTGCTTCTCCGCTCGCTGCCGCCGCTGCTTTTTCCCGATTTGGTACGTGGCTCTCTCTCTCTCTCTCTGTGGTTTATGTTTTCTACTTGCTCTCTCTCTCTGCTCTCTCTGGATGAGAATGAGAATGAGAATGAGATGATGAGGGATTTGTAGAATAAATGAAAAAAGAGAAGAAAAAATTATAAGAGAACATATTAATATAATATTTTGATGATATTAAATTACTAGAAAATATCATTAATTGTCAAAAGTACAGATTTTTCCATTTATGTTGTCTTCACTGTTCCATGAAACCTTCTGATTAAAGAATCTAAGTTTATAGTGTCGTTGAATTGTAAAATAATAAAAAAACAAAACAGAACAAATTTCTCTGCAAGGCACAATTGACGTTGGATTCGCATCTAAAAACTCATAGCCTCATTGAAATAAAAAATGCGAAAATAAGTACAACTGAAAGGAGTTTTGTCGACCGGGATTGCCAACTGTTTAGAGAGAAACACAATTGTAAAATGATAATTATTTTGTATTGATAAGAATTGTGTTTAGATATTAGATTTGTGGATAAAGAAAAGGAAATGGATAAAAGCAGTATTTTATTTATTTATTTATTTATATTTGAACAAGGATAAAAGCAGTATGAGCAAGGGTTTTTCCTTACTAGATTTGTTGAATATAATGATTTGTTTGAAGATATATGTGGTGATATATATAGAACATCAGAGAAACAATCCATTTAACTTATTCCATTTTGACTATTTTAGTTAAATTAGATTTTTTTTACTCTTTGATTCAAGTTTGTAATTTGAATTATGTTTTTTTTATTATAAATCGCCAATCTGCCCGAACCGCTAAGTCAAAATCGCCATTATTTGCCAACCGAATTGTCGGGTTTTTTTATAAGAAAAATGGCAATTGCTAATGACAATTTTGTTAATCCGCCACCCGCCGTGCAATTTCTATTTTACCCCTAAATCACACCGATCTGCACCGCTCAGACCCCTATTTGTTAGGGTGCACGACTTTTTGAATAAATCAAAAGTAAATTATATAAAAAAAAACACAAGTAAACAGTTTCTATTTAAATTAGAGCATTATAAAAAAATAAATAACTACACATATAACCTTGTTTAGGTCATATGTATTTTTTGTATTTATGATAATTTAAAAATAAATATATAGTAGATTCAAGCAACCAAAACCTAAGTAATTGTACATTGGCCCCCCCAACCCTCAGATTATATTTGGTTCATGAATTTGGGAAGGAATTTGAAAAGGGAAATGAAAAGTGTGTGAAACGTAGATAAAATATAGTTATATTTTATTCACATTTCGTATACTCTTTCCTTTTTTCCCTTCCAAATAACATACCAAATCTATGAAACAAACATAGCCTAGGGGTTTGGCCTGGTGGATGAGGATTGGGACTTGGGGGTTTACTCCCTTCAAGATCTTAGGTTCGACTTCCCTCGCAAGCGAAACTTAAGCTGGCCTAGGATATCCTACATATCCAAAAAAAGAAAAAAAGAGTATGCTGACCCCCCAACATCCATGTAATTTTAAGACTATGTTTGAGAAGTAGCTATTTTAGTTTATTTTTTGACTTTTTATGGAAATACATGCAAAAAAAGTAAAGAGAGTGATATGATAGGATGTTTTAGGCTGTGTTTGGTACAGTTTTGGAACGTTAGTTCTAGAGCTGATTTGAATAGGACGTTTGTTTACAAATTTCAAAAATTAATTCCACGTTTACTTTTGAAAACGCAGTTGAAGGCGGGAAAATTGGGGCTAACCGGACGTCCCACCGGTCGTCCTGCCGGTTGACTGAAACAGTGCAATTTTTTTTTTTGTTGCAATTGACACATGTTAATTTTTATATATTCAATAAAACGTATTTTTCGAATTTTTAAAATTTTTTTATGAGTTTTAATAGAATTTTGAGTTGTGTGTTTGGTTATGAGTTATAAGCTTTTGTATCAAATATCATATGTCACATCAAAAATTCTCCACTCAATTCAAAACTCTTTTCAGAACTCATTCACCAAACAAATTTTTCACACTCAAATCATAATTCCAAAACTCACAAACTCAAAATACAACTCTATTATCAAATCGTATTTAGAAAACTCTACCAAACACAACCTTAGCTTTTTTAGCCAAAAAGCCACCATCCCAAACAGGCCTAAATAATAATAACTTAAACAATTGAAATTTCAGAATAATTCGTTAAAGTTTAATTGATTTCAATTTTATTTTTATTGTTTTACCATACACTATGTGCCATTTAAAATATTTTGAACAACAAAATAAAAAAAAAAAAATTGGATAGTTACACCTTTGGTCACCTCTAGTTTGAGCAAAGTTTCACTTCAGTATTTGTAGATTCAATTTAAACTCCTTATTTTTAGTTTTATTACAATGTGATCTATCTGTCATTTACTATTAGAATTTTGAACCCAAAAATTTTAAAAAAAAAAAAAACACATGCAGAATTAGAGAAATCAAAATAGAAAGAGAAAAGAAAAAAAGGAACGATTAATTGTACATAGTAATGGAATTTGGTTAAACAATGCAACGATTCCAAACATAGGCCACATTAATAAATACAAAAATGCTAGAGGTCTCTAACTTTTTTATCAAACACTTGCATAGATATGGGTCTCACATGAGTGTGGGTCCTACATGGGTGTAGTGTGAGTGTTTGGTAGAAATTTTGATAGATAATTTTGTATCCTAACATTGCTCTAATAAATAAATAATGAGAGATTTGTTCTTGGTTGGTAGATAACAAAAGAAGCTATATTGTATTTCTTTTAGAGACATGTTAGAAAATTTTAAAATACGATCTCTAAATTTATTGCTAATGATATGTCAAGGCATTAATCTTAAAAAGTTAATTTTAAACAATCAATAATAACTAATAGTTCACATCTATGATGTGCGGACACGGACACGGATATGGACACGGACACGACACGGACATGGGCACATGAATAAGCAAATTTTTAAAAAATAAGGGACACGATATGTTGGGGACACGTTCAATATATATACTTTTGTTTATTTATTATATATAAAATTAAAAAATATAGTATTTATATAAATAAAAGTATGTATATTATTTATAAATAAAATATATTTAAAAATATTATTTATGAAATATATATATATATATTTAAAAAAATATTATCCACCTAAAAAAAATGTAAAAATATATATTATTTATTTACTTTAACATCAAATTTCATTTAGAAATTATTTTTTTATAAATAAAAATAATTTATTTTAGATTAATATGGAAAACAGAAAAATAGGAAGGAAAAAAAAAGAAACGAAAGAGAGAAATATCACAGCGAAAGTCAGAGAGAGAGAGAGAGAGTCGAACAAAGAAGATGATTCGAACAGAGAGAGATAGAGAATTGAACACAGAGAGAGAGAGTCGAACACAGAGAAAGCGAAAGAGAGTCAAACACACATAGCGAGGGAGCGAGAGTGAGAAAACACACAGACATACAGAGAGAGAGAGATGGAGAGAAGAATCGACGAAAGTAGAAGAAAAATGCAAAAGAAAAGAACAACGAAGAAGAAAACTGAAGAAAAGAACATGCCTCAAATCCAGGGTTTCAATAGGTTCTTCTTCACCTTTTCTCTTTCTCTCTGTTTCTCTGTCTATGGGTTAGGGTTTCTCTATCTTTGTCTCCAACATGTCGATAAAGTGTCCAAGAGTGTCCCAAGCATGTCCGGCTGAAGAAATTAAAAAAAAAAGGGGTCACGCCAAGTAGAGTGTCCGACACATGTCCATTGTGTGTTTGTGCCCGACACGTGTTGGATATCCATACGTTATCTCCGGAGAGGTGTCCGTGCTTCTTAGGTTCACATCATTGTGAAAAATTTAAGGATTATATTTTAAAAGTTTCAAAGTTTTTTCAATTCTTTGTTTTATAAGTTTGATGTAGTCAATTTTTGAAATACAGTAATACAATTTAAAATTTTAATATTCCTTCAATCCACTATTTTTTGTCCCTTTTTTTTTTGTTTTTTTAAAATTTTTTTTTGGATGTTTCGAAATGATGTCTAGTTTAAAAAGTTGAGGCAAATTATTTTTTTCAAATCAACAAGGATGCATCTAATAGCTTGAAATAAAGGGATACATTTGAAATTAGATTGGTTTCAACATTCTCCTTTGGCAACTGTACTTTTTATTCTAAAAGTTAAAAAGATCCTCAAAAAATTAACAAATACCAAAATGTTAAATATTTATTTCCATTCAATCTATTTTTTGTTCATCTTTTTATAAAAAATCAAAAAGTTGTCCCAAACATAATAGTTTTTTTTTATATCATAATTTAGTCAAAAAAAACAAAAAAGTTACTAAGAAATCTTGTTCCCAAATGACCCCTAAATACTTTTATATTCAGATTAAATGTTTGTGTCATAAAAAAAAATGGGATTTTTAGTATAAGGTCTATGATATTAAGATTTTAAAAGATAAAGGATATGCAATATTTTTATAGTAGTTGAGGTCTCTTAACATTTTCATAGAGAAATTTCAGTACAAAGAAATTTCAACACACAAATTTTAGCTCATCATAGAGAAATTTGTGAAATTTCTCTAATAATATTATTGAGAGATCTTAACTAATAAAAAAAATATATTGGACCTCTCCGACTACTAAAAGTTGGAACCAGTTTTTTTTCACTAATTTCCCCTAAAAAAATTGGGTTTTCAAATTTACCATAGAAGTACCTTTAAAAAATAAATATCATTTAAAAAAAATTTGGTTTACAAATTTTATATTTGGGATAGTTAATGAGTTATGAATAATTCTACACATTAACAATCTTATTAAAAATACAAATGGTCAAATGTGATTGTTGTAATCAAAAATAAAAAAAAAATAAAAAACAAAAACAAAAAAAACAATAATATTTAGAGGTCATTTGGAAATTAGTTATTTTAGTTGGCTTTTTGACCTTTTAAGAAAGGACGTGCAGAAAAGTAGAGAGAATAGTTGACTTTTTTATAGTGACATTTTAGCTTTTTAGCTATTTTCACACTTCCAATAATATTTGGACATGGATGCTTTTAGTAGGATTATAGTGAGATTTTAAGTAGATGTAGCATTGCTCATGAGTTATATACACTATATAATAAGGGAGAGTTAACTTTGCTATAGTAAAATGTGGCTACTGAGATTGAGCCACATCTCCACACTTGTCTACGCCACATATTTTTCTTCATCTCTATTTCTTTGTTCTATGACTTCCTTTCTCAATCTCAGTGTTTCTCTCTGAGGCGATTGGTGATTTCCACCGGCGAAGGGTGATCGACGATCTCCAACAATGAAGGGTGATAGGCTCGTTCTCTCCAACGTACTCCTCTTTCTTCATAGTTCTCTGCGACTACTTCCATCTTAACTCTGTCTCTCATCAAGGTATGAATCTATCTTCTCTTTGTATGTTGCTCCAACCCCTTGCTTTCCCCTCTATTCATCCTCCAATAACAGCTCTCACCTTTCCCTAACTGCAAAACCCTACTCCAGAACCCCCTTTCTGTGCTCCGTTTTGTGAAACCCCAAACCCTATTTTTAAAGACTTATGTGAACCCCCATTTCTTTTATGCAGAGCTCTTATGTATTTATTTATTTAAAATTTTCGTTTTGTAAACCTACATTGTAGTAGGCTGAGAAATCTAATGTGAATATAAATTTTGGTTTGCTTTTATCTCTTGAGATTTATTGCTTGTGTGTTTTCGTTTATGTTTCTGTTTGAGTGTTTTTTAAGCTCACAATCACATCTCTTCTTTCAATAATTCCACAAAAATTTCTCTTTCTCCTTTCCCTCTCTTTCCTCTCTTCTCCATCATCTCGTCTCAAAAATCCTAAACTGATTTTGTTTTTTTCATTTTTTTATTTGCAGTATAAAACCTCAAATTACATCTGATGTATCATTTTGTAATTTTAATTCTAATGGATTGTTCTGAAATTTTCCTTTTTAGTGGTTAATAATGGGATGAAATCACAAGCATAGGCGCCTCGACATCGAGTTGGAACCCAGTTAGATTATTGGATTTTCTACATCAACTGTGGCTTAGATTACTGGGTTTGCAGGTTTTGTTGATTCTAGAACATTCTAGAGGAATTGGAGACATTGAAGAAACTTAGAAAAATCTAGCACGCTCCAGAAGGTTCTAGAGTATTCTAGAAAATGAAAGAAGACTCCACTATGTACTAGAATAGTTTAGAGAATTCTAGAATATAGTGGAAAGGTAAAAGGATCTTAGAAATATTCTAGAAGGTTAATGATTGTCCTTGGATCAGGGTATCCTTGCCATCCATTAAGGAGATGAAAGATTATATAAAGGGAAGACTTCTCATTATAGATAGATTGAAAATTGATGAAACAGAAGAGATCTCAGTGAATAGAAAATAAATGATGAATTCCGCTTTCATTGTAAAGAGACATGTTGTAAAAATAGCCCAAGTCAAGATGATACGGATCAACCCCCTCTTCTTGTGCCAAAGATCTTACCATATTTGAAGGAACTGGATTTACATCTCTTTTCCATTTTCATTCAAGAGTTCTTACGTGTTTTCACGTTCCTTTGAGATCCCAAAAAATGGGCAAATTCCTATTCTTAAGAACACATACGAGATAATCAAAATCGCTTAGGTCCTATTTGGAGACTTGAGTTTGTAGCTAAAAAGTCATTATAAATTATCATATATACATATACATGTATATATTTTTACACATATTTTCGTAAAAAGCCAACTAGAATGGGAGAAATCTTTTGTTCGTCATAGGTAGCAGATATGACAAATTATTGAGTAAAAAAAAACCTAAATAAAAAAGTATATAAAGAAAAAGGGAAAAAAGGGGGCCACATCCTGAGCTGCAGCTGAGACGTCCCAAATTGGAAGAAAGGAATGGATTTGGTGCTTCTTGCTTTGTTGTGCTTGCTTGCTTGCATTGCACCAGAAAGATAGATTCTTATTATCATCCCTCCTTCCTCTTCCTGCTTTGATTTAATCTTTATTACTTATCATATTACATAATTGTGATTTTCTTTATTTGATTTGGATTAGGGGAATTAGGGAGGAGGACAATCGGAATTCAAAGATTGGTGGTGGCGGGGGCGGAGGAGGGGATGTCATTGAGAATAAAGGCAGTGGTGGACAAGTTCGTGCAGGAGCTGAAGGAGGCACTGGATGCGGACATACAGGACAGGATCATGAAGGAGAGGGAGATGCAAAGCTACATCCAAGAGCGCGAACGCGAGGTCGCCGAGCGCGAAGCTGCCTGGAAGGCTGAGCTTTCTCGCCGCGAGGTATCCCCTTCATTCATTCATTACCCCCCACTATTACTCATTATTACTATTCCCCTATTACTATCCCTATCCGTATGGTTGTGCTGCTATGTTTTGCATTTGCATTTGAATTTGCATTTGCATTTGCTGTTGTTATGAATGAACAATCAACATCTCATTGCTTGCTTCAGATATATGTTGCTGTAATGTAAGTTGACAAACCTGATTTTGGTGCTGTGTTGGTTTGTCTATGAAGCTAAAGTGGTAGCCTAGGCAATATGGTGGATGAGAGAGCTGATACATATTCTATCTTTCTATGGAATTCTAGCATTGTACATCCATTAAAAGCTGTTTCTTTAAACAATAAAACTTGTAGGCCTTGTTGACTGAACTTAGAAGCCAACAAATACCAAACCAAACTAAGCCTTAAGTCCCATCAAATGGGGTCGGTTGTATGAATCCTTCTTCTCTATTCGACTCTATCCAAGGCCATTTTGTTAGTCAAATTAAAGAGATTCATATCTCTATTTATTACACTAGTCTAAGTCTATATCAATCTAGGTCTATCCTTTCTCCTAACACTACCATCTACCGTTATTGTATCTCATCTTTTCACTAATACCTTTATTGGTCTTCATTGTATATGACCAAACCATCTTAATCTATTCTCTCTCAACTTGTCTTCTATCAGTACTACTCCTACTCATTCTCGAATATATTCATTTCTAACTTTGTCTTTTCTAATCTTGCCATACATTCACCTTAGCATCCTCATCTCAACAACACTCATCTTATTTACATGTTGTTTCTTAGTTTTCAACATTCCGTCCCATACAATATCGCTGGTCTAATAGCCGTTCTATAGAACTTCCCTTTTAGTCTAATGGGTACTTGTTCATCACACAATACTCCATATGTACTCCACTTAAACCACCCCGCATTAATTTTGTGGATTACATTCGCTCCAATCTCTCTAATTGTTGTGATAATTGATCCTAAATAACAAAAATGTTCACTCCTAGGTAGTTTTTGGTTCTCAATCTTTATTTCTCCTCTGCTTCCATTGTGACTGTTACTAAAATTATACTTTATATACTCTGTCTTAGTCCTGCTTATTCTAAATCCTTTAGATTCAAGTGCTTTTCTCCAAATCTCCAACTTACTGTTAACTCCTTCTCTAGTCTCATCTACTAACACGATATCATCTGCAAAAAGCATACACCATGGCATATCATTCTGAATATTATGCGTCAACTTATCCATAATTAAAGTAAAAAAATAAGGACTTAAGGTTGATCCTTAGTGTAACCCTATAGTAATTGAAAATTCACTCGTCTCTCCAGCAGGCGATCTAATAGTGGTCACCACACCTTTGTACATATCCTTAATCACATTAATGTAATCTTTTGTCACCCTTTTCCTCTCTAACATTTACCAGATTATATTCCGAGACACTCTATCATATGTTTTTTCAAGATCGATAAAAACCATATGAATGTCTCTTTTGTTTTTTTTATACTTTTCTATTACTCTCTTCAAAAGATAGTTCACTTCCATTGTTGACCTACCAGGCATAAATCCAAATTGATTCTCTGATACTTCTATTATATCTCGCAATCGATGTTCTATCACTTTCTCTCACACTTTCATTGTGTGGCACATCAATTTGATTCCTCTATAGTTGTTGCAATTCTGGACATCTCCTTTATTCTTATATATTGGCTCTAAAATACTCTTCCTCCACTCCTTTGGCATTTTTCTAGTCAATAAAATCATGTTAAATAACTAGTTAACCAAACAATTCCCTTCTTATCCAAACATTTCTACGCTTCAATAGGTATATCATCGAACCCTAGAACCTTATTCAATTTCATCTTTTTAAGTGTAGACTCTACTTCAAAGTCCCTAATCCTATGATAGAACCTATAATCTTGGTTTTCCATATGACTGCCTACTTTTTCCCCTTTTGACCTACTTCTATGTTCCTCAGTTAACAACTTCTCAAAATAGTTCTTCCATCTCTCCTTAATTTCTTCATCCTTCACCAGCACCTTATAGTCCCCACTCTTGATGCACTTAATCTAATTAAAATCTCTTGTTTTCCTCTCTCTTATCTGAGTAAGTTTGTATATCCTTTTATCTCCTTCCTTACTATCTAGTCTAGTGTATAGGCTTTTAACTTAGTCTCCCTCACTACTCTTTGACCTCTTTATTGGCCAATCTGTAGCGCTTAAGGTTTTCCTCAATTTTATCATTCTGTCACTTTTTAAAGTTCTCTTTTTTCGTCTTTATTACCGCTTGGATCTCCTCTCTCCACTACCAAGTTTTCCTAAAGTTAGGTTCCTTTCCTTTTGACTCTCCAAGAACTTTCCTTGAGATTCTCCTTATACAATTGACTATCGAGTTTTACATAGTGTTAACATCATCTTCCAAGTCTCAAGTACCTTCTTTATCTATTTTATTCTTAAATGTATCAAGTTTATCCCTTTTTAGGTCCCACAATATAGTCCTGCAATAGCTACTATCTTTCTGAGCTTGGTATTGCCCTTTAAAGCATAAGCTAATACTAAAATCCTATGTTAAGACATTAAGCTCTCTCTAGGAATCACCTTACAGTCGCTGCATTTTAGACGACCTACTTTTCTTATTAGAAAGTAATCGATATGGCTCTTAACTGACCTACTCTTGAAGGTTATTAAATACTCGTCTCTCTTCTTATATATAGTATTGGCCACCACTAAGTCAGAAGCCAATGCAAAATCTAAAATACTCTCTTCAGCCTCATTTCTATCATCAAAACCATACCCACCATACACCCTCTCATAACTTAGTTTATTTACTCCTACATGACCATTGAAATCACCATCTATAACTAGGTTCTCTCCTACGGGTATCTCATATAATACCTTATCCATTTGGTCTCAAAAAACTCTCATATTCTGATCATCTAATTCTACTTGGGAGGCGTATGCACTAATAACATTCACTATATTATCTCCAGTAACTAGTTTAAGTAACATATTCCTATCATCTTTCCTAATGACTGCAATTACATTTTCTACAAGACCCTTGACAACTATTATTTCTACCCCATTCCTGTGTCTATCCTTGCCGCTATAATATAACTTAAAACTGGTATCCTCTATTTCCCGAGCTTTGTCACCCGTCCACTTAGTTTTTTGTACGCAAGTTATACTAACCCTCCTCCTAATCATGACATTTACCAATTTCATAGTCTTATCAGTTAAAGTTTCTATATTTCATGTGGTTACCCTAAACCTATAATCTTGGACTAACTTCTTTATCTGCGCTCGTTCAGAAAAACGCGGAAACCTTTATGCATTTTCACCGCACCCAGGCATCGATGTAGCGCCCCTTGCTCACTTTGTATTCAAGCTTCTTTTTTCTTTCATCCCTAGAAGACCTTTATTTGCTTAGTTATGTTATCAATGTTACGGTCTTCAATATTATTTCCTGATGTAGGCTTCTAAATTTATTTTCAATGTCTCAAAATGGAAAATGACTCCCTTAGAATTGAAAGGCTCTTGCTTAAGTTTAACTTCATCACAACAATTTTCGATTGCCCCAAAACTGTTATAATGTAAGAAGACTGTAACTTCTGTTATCAAAGGGGAGGGTAAATGCATACCAAACTCTTATAATTGCTTCATGTAGAAGATAAAGGTGTTCTTTTTTTTGGGTGCTTGCATGTCCTAGTTAGTGCTTTTAGAACTCAATGTTAATTTTCTAACTCATTTAAACATTCCAAATCATAACATGCTTTTAGTAAGAACTATTTTGAGTCTCGAGGATGATACCAAAGATCTGTATTTTGTTTATAAACTTTCCTAGTGGATGGATAATACTTGGAGTAGGTATTTATTATTCTATGCTAACAATTTGTAGACGAGAGGTAATTGAAGTTCCCCAGAATGCAAGGAAAAGGTGAAAATAAGCTGATGTTCTTCAATGTTAAGGGAAAAGACTAGTGAAAAAGGAATACCAAAGTTATAAAAATGGAAATGGAAGCTCTGAAGAATAAGAAGAGGGGCAAATTAATGTTAGAACATCTTTGTTTTGGTTTCATACGGAGTTTTATAGTTCTCCCAAAAGAAACTTATTGAACTATTGGTGGCTTTTTTGTTATAAATCAGTTGGTCACTCAGCTGTTCAACTTCAGCTCAACTAAAGTAAGTTTGAGTTGAATCCGAGTAGTTTGTTTGAGCCTGGTTTTTGAATGTTGGTCAACCTTGCTCATGAATCTTTTTTTTACGTCCCATGTTTTGAGAAACAAGGGGACTCATTTCAAATCTATGTGAAGCCATATTGAATGAATCTTGTTACTTTTTTTATTTTATTTTTATTTTTAAATCCTGATATTCTTCAATGATATAATCTTTAGCATCTATTAAAAGTTTTGAATTAGATATGCATAATTGTTTGTAGATGATGGTACTTGTAGTGGTTTTAGACAGGCCTTCCCATCCAACTTTTTAACCTTTTAGGTCGCCTGGAGAACTGCACAGCTGCAGGCCAATAGGACCATCAACCTCATTACTTCTTGTGGCGGTGGTTCGCACATGAACTGCTACTCTTTTATTTATGTTTTGTTGTAGAATTGATGTAAATATGCATATGAATGAGGTCTTTGCACAAATTTATTTTGATGAATCATGAGATAAATGGGCCTTTCTTCTTGGACAAATTTTGTTATGTTAGAACTGATGAATGAAATTCTTCTTCTTCCATTAGAATGGAAGTTAAAGAGGGTATAAATCTTTATTCTTAAGACATATTATCTCATCTTTCAGGCAGAGATTGCTCGACAAGAAGCGAGGCTGAAGATGGAGCGAGAGAACCTTGAGAAAGAGAAGAGTGTGCTAATGGGAACTGCATCAAATCAAGATAACCAAGATGGAGCTCTTGAAATCACCGTTAGTGGAGAAAAATATCGATGCCTCAGGTTTGCAAAGGCAAAGAAATGAGGCTTCACATGGATGGATTTAGTTAAAAGTGAGCCCCGTGATCATGGATGGTGTTGTTTCTTGGCTCACAGTAGCCACTTCATGTTTAGGGATCTTCATTCTTGTTGGATGGATTAATATGTAGATAGATATAGGTCCCATTATATTATGAACAAGTGGTGCATCTCTGGAGTTATGATCTATTTTAGTGTTAGGAAGAAAGGCTGGTGATTAATGAAAACAAAGTAGTTCTGAATGTTTAATTCATTTTCTTTGCTTGAAAGATGATTTGTGTGAAATAATTTAGAGAGTATTATACTTTTGATTTTGTTGACTGCGGTCACCGTAGGGTAGCAAATCAAGGTCCTTCACCAAGGAACACTTCTCTAGTGTTTCTTGGTATTGTCCAATCCCAACCCAAATAAAATACTCTCGCATAGTTCCTGTCTGGATCCATACTGATTGAGAAACATGGGCAATAGTCTCGTTTACATGAATCTGTAAAATAGAGCAAATGGATCCAAATTGGTCATTGACAACAAAATTTCCCCCATCTATTGAAAGGGCGAGCAAGTTACACTACAACAAATTGACTCATAATGAGGAAACAATTAGCGTAAGAATAGAACACGCCTTGGTAAGTGTTCTTTTTATTTTGGAGAAATTACCCAGAGGTCCCATGTGGAACATGTGGACACCATTTAATCCCATAACTTTTTGAGTACACCCAAAAGTCCTTTCCCCTCTCTCTCTGCTTTTTGCTTCCCTCTTTACGCCTCCTCCTCTAACCCTAATCTCAGTCCTAAAGTCAAACAAGAAGGCGATGAAGAACAAGAACAAGAAGACGATGAAGAACAAGAACAAGAAGACGCTCATCCTCAGATCTGTGCTTAGATTGAACAGATTTGTGTATATATCTTTGTCAATTTCTCTCTCTTTCTCTCTCTATTTACAGATTTTTTTTGGGATAGTTGTTGATCTATGATTGTTGTTGTTGAGGATGAAATAGATCTATAATATCATTGAAACAGATCTGTAATGACTCAGATTTGTACAGATATCACATAGATTTGTAATGAGAAAATTTTCGAATTCTGAACAAGTAATTTTCGAGTTTTAGTTACAGGCGGTGAAAACTGTAAAATTTTGCAGTTTCAAATTTTTTTTTTGGTGCTGGAATGAATCATGGTTTAAAACTGTAAAATTTCGCAGTTTTATAACATTTTTTAGAACTGTAAAATTTTACAGTTTCATAACATGTTTTAAACATTCCGACGAGTCTCCGGCGATGTTGAACATTCTGACGAGTTTCCGGCGACCGTTTGACGGAAGTCCGACGGTAGTAAGATGTGAACATGTAAATTAAAAAAAAAAAAGAAAGGATTTTTTGGTAACAATTAAAAATATATTGGACTAATTGGTGCAAGTATTTTGTTTTGGGATTAGCTGGGTTTTGAACGTAGTACATGGGACTTATCAGTAAGTTCCCCATATAGTTTAAGGTTTGTGTCATTTTGGTCCTTAACGAATAGTGCAGGATTAGTATAAAAACAGCACACAGTGGTTGTGAAGTTGAGGTGTACTTAATAGCTATGAATGAATGAGAGGAAGTGAGCAGCAAGAACTTACAGTTCCCTGGATATTTGGAACCTCTCCCAGGATTGTAGCGAGTAGAGTTGATTTGCCTGAACTGACCTCTCCACATATATTTCTAAGCATGGGCTTTAACGGACTCTCTTCCCACAGAAAACTAGCAGATTTGATGAAAATGCTGTGGCTCTTCATTCCCATGTTGCGTTTTTGCCTGATATTTGTGTTCTCTAGCTCAGGTGCCTGGAGAAATATCACAATCCTAGCGCATGCAACTTTTGCTTGAATAACAACCGCAATTACATCAGGAATACATCTAACTGGCTCTTGAACAAGTTGTAAAGTCGCTACAAATGTGAAAACATTACTAGCATAAAAAGGCACTCCGAGAAAATAACATGCCCCAAAAGTGGCAGTTGAGACCAATACAGGGGATGCCCAAAAGAGAGAGCCATTGTATGCTTTATGCATTTGAACTGCTGATAACCATTTACATTCCACTTTCCTCAAGTTTTCAATGACATTCTTGAAATGACTTTCCCACGTATAGAGTTTCATTACCTTCATGTTCATGAGCGCCTCTGAAGTAGGCCTTAAGCCGATCATCTTGGGCCACCATGAGCTTAGACTGGAACTTATGCTGCAATTTTGCTAGCGGCCATTGCAAAGCACAGTAAGAATTATCACCACCAAGGATGCGATTGTCGCGAGCCCACTGCACGGAATAGGATTATTAAGGCGAGACATAGCTGGAGGCTTGTTGTCCAAGTTGGATGAAACCAAAAAGGAAACTCTCCAATCCGACAAGCATCAGTGGAAACATAGTTCATTATCTCTCTGGCCGAGTGCATCATTATCGCAGCATTGGATAGTCTTAATTGCTTCTAATAAATGGCTGCTGTTAGCAAAGACCTCACTTTTAGACTGACAAGTCTGCTTCGGAAATACCATTGCCTTTGAGCTAAGGACTCAATGCTCTTTGAAAAGGAAAGTAAGAGGGCCAACACATATCCCTCATTTTTTAAACTTTTTTTTCCCTCGGCAACCTCAATGAAGGTGTTGAGAATAAGTGGACTGGTAGATAGAGTAAGGCGTTGAGAATAAGTGGACCGGTAGATAGAGTAACGACTGTTAGCAGCGGGAACAATCCTGACATCAAAATCTCCTTCCAATTGCATGAAACTATTGTCCACAAAACCAATGGTTGGGATGATGGGTCGAGTTGTTTTTTCTCATTGAATTTCTCTGTGAATAGCGAGTAACAAGCTTGTGCTTGATCTTCCTCATTCAATTTGGGTATATCTTCATCCTCAAGTGTTTTCTCCCTCCCCATTTTCATCAATGGGTTCAGCCACCAAAACGTCATTTTATTGAAAAACCTAGCTTTCGCAAATGGAGTAACGGTGGCAACAGACTCGGTTTTACTACTTCCATTGACCTCACTGTTCAAGGGGGTACATAGATTTTCATCAATTTCTTCATATTTGTAACCCTTATATGTGTGTAGCAACAATAAACTTGCCCCTAAAAAGGGAACAGTACATCCGAAGCTACCTTAATCAACACTTATTTGATAAAAATGGCGGTGACAAGGGATAAACAACAAGCAATTGCAGTAAACAAGAAGGCAAGAATTGACAAAACCCGCAATGACGCTTTTGCGAAATGTTTTCCTCTAAGGCTAATCATTAAGCCCATTGGCAACCATGTTTGTCCTTGAAACAAAACTAGCAACCACCAATGCAGAGGAAAGACAGAACAGGACAACCTTAATTTATCAACTAAAATCCAAATACCCAAAATCAAGTATACCATTCCCAAAACTCCATTGAAAATGGCAGATATAATTTGCAAACACTGTCACGTCCCAAGCTCCGTGACAACGCCGCACACTCATTTAAGTGAGCATGCAAGGCTAAGAGTCCAACACATAACTAACAATGTAAAATACTCCAATCAAACCCTTAATTATCATAATACTAAAATCCATAAAAAAAAAAACTCCATTGAAAATGGCAGATATAATTTGCAAACACGTAGTGCCACGAAAGTGCTTTGATGGTTTCTTTCGAATAAGAACACTACCACGAGCAATATATCAAAACAAATAATCATGGCATGGTTGATACATGAAAAAGGCTGTGTCACAAACATGAAATAAATGGTGCAAGGCTAAAGAACATTCGTTAACAAAATTTACAATGATTATAGATTTTTTACAATACATGCTTCTATAAATAATGTACAACTATTTCAAACATATTAACAAATGCCCTTAGAATAGAGCTAACAAGATTAAACTTGCAATAATGTTGTTTTGACACTTATTCACAATAACTTCTAATTAATTCTCAAAATTAACCCATAAATTTATATATAATTACAAATGCATAGTGTGTGCACCTCATCCTTATTAAATTTATAAGGTTCTTGCTCTCAAGATATTTTAATAAAAACTCTTGATCATTATTGCCTTTCGAAAAATGGGCACGGGGCGATTAGGTATTTCCAGTCTCCAATCTTCTCCGTTTCTATGGGGTTGCAAAATCCCCATTATGAAACATAAGATATTACCATAAGCTTCAATGTGACTCTGTAGACTGATAATGAGACCAGTATTCCTTCACAAGCTGCCCAAATAGTGAATTTTCTCCCTTCATCAGCTTCATTGGTTCGTCATACTCTACCAATTTTCCTGGAAAAAATTAATCAAAGCACTTTTCTTCAGAATTTGTAGGAAACACACTATTGGGTGAGGAAGAAAGGAACAAAATTTAAGTAACCAACCATCGCTGATGGCCAGAACCATGGTGCAATCCATGACGGTTGGCATTCTATGGGCTACTGTGATCACAGTGCAATCAGCAAACTCAATCCTGATGGTTCTCTGCAAAATTAAGTCTGTTGCGTTGTCGATTGAGGCAGTTGCTTCATCAAGCACCAATATCTTGCTTCTCCTTAGGAGGGCACGGCCCAAACAAAACAATTGTCTTTGTCCCATGCTCCAATTTGAACCATCTTGCACAACTGAAATGAGAAAGGAGTTTAGAAATGAGGTTGACATTCTACTTATTTGGCGTATTAAAATATAAAAAAAAAAAATTTAAATACTTATTTGGCGTATCCCTCACGTATCCTGCCATATTCCTCTTGTATCCAAAATTTAAAAAATTAGATACTTATTTGTCGTATATGATACGTATCTCGCCGTATCAGACGTGTATCTATATCCAATATGTATCCAATACTCGTACAACACATTTTTTGAAGTATCCGTGCTACATAGTTTACTAAGAAATATATAAACCAACTCAGCATACTGACATAATGTACTTGGACCAATTAAATCGGTAGTCATGGCGTGGGCTGAGCTAACCTGACCCACCATGATCTACTGGTGGGAAACAAGTATTGAGATTGGTCCACCTATTCACCCAAAATAAAGGGATTGGTCCACCCAAGTGGGACCCATATAATTATTTACAGAAATATACAGACCTTTTTTTTTTCCACAACCCCACAAACACATGTCAGTCAGAAATAAGAGAAAAAAAGTAAAATAAAAAGTTGGCCAATCACAATGCATTGGGGGTGGTGAGAGTTTCACACAAAGGGGGTCCCAACTATTTTCTAATTATTTATTCAAAAATGCTTGGACTCCTTTTTTTTGGGACCTTACAACTCTCTTTGGATCTCAACCATTGATGTAGATATGAAACCCACTCATGTATGTGTGGGGCTCACACTATCAATGGTTGAAATCCAGGGTCGTGGGGGCTCCCAAAAAAAGAAGTTTCAATCATTATTGTTATTTATTTGGTGGTCGACTGTGGATAGAGTGGCCAAAGGTGGTGGGGGAGGGAGGAAGGAGTGAATTAGTCTTAAAAACAAGAGAAAACACCCTCTTTTTTTCTTTTTCTTTTTTGTTTCCAAAAAATTTAAAAACAAAAGCAGAAAACGAGAAACAGAAAACAAGGCAATAATTCTTGGTAAATGGAGAGTAAAAATGTTTGGCTTCTTACCCATCGAGTCCAAGCCCACTTCTTTCTCCTGAACAACGTCTCCAAGCTGACACTTTCCAAGAACCTGTTAAAACAGTAACAACAATCACATATTTAAGCAAACTGAAAAACTAATTTGAATAAACAAGAGGGATTGAAGTATTACCTCCCATATTTCCTGATCAGTATGCTGACCCAATGGATCCAAATTATATCTCACGGTCCCATTAAAAAGAGTAGGATCCTGAGGTATAATCCCAAACCGCGACCTCAAATCATGAAGTCCGAGGGTAGAAATATCAATCTCATCTATGACAATCTTGCCCCCTGCAGGCTCCACCAGACGAAACAAAGCACCGATCAGTGTAGACTTCCCACTGCCAGTCCTTCCAACGATACCAATTTTGTGCCCTCCTTCAAATGTGCAAGTTATTCCACGAAGAACGAGTGGCGCATCAAGCCTATATCTGATCTGTTTCAACATCAGATTTTCTCAGTTGGGACGTTAAGAATTTGTCGGATATAATGTTAATGTACACAAAAAAAATTACCTTCAAATCTTGAATCTTGACTTTACCAACTGTTGGCCAGTTGGCCGGGTGGCGATTCTCTTCGATCACTTCAGGTGCTTCACTTGGAATGTGCATGTATTGGTTGAGCCTTTCTACAGAGATAATGTAGTTTGCTAGAGTACACTGGTTTTGAATGGAAAAAACAAGGGACACGTTTAATGAGAGACCATAGGACAATGCCATTCCAACAAATCCTGCAAATAAGATGAGGTAATGAGAAATTCCATATAAAAGAAATCATTAGTGGATTATAGTTCCATCACTTCCAGTTTATGAAAAGAGCAGCACTGTAAATTTTGAAAAATTATTTACATTTTTTTTGGGGGGAGGGGAAGTGAAATCAGTTGTCAGACGTGTTTACTTAAGTTAACAATTTTCATTTAAGTTAACAGTTTTCAAAATGTGTTATTTGGCAACATTTATGCCAAGAGAAGGTTTCCACTAGTAGGAGGTGGTGGCGGTGCGTAGAGGTGATGGCTAAAGGTGATTTTCATTAAGAGAAGGTGATCAAAGGTGGTTGCTGCCAGTGGGAAGTGGTTGGCGGAGGCTAGAGGTAGTTTCCAGCTGCAGGAGGTGGTGGTTGTCAGAGGACCTCACTAGTGACGGTGGCTAGAGGTGGGGGTGGCCGGTGGGGGTGATGAGTGATGGGTGGTAGCCGGAGGCGATGAAATCAGGACGAAAGAATGAATATTTTTTTTTCTTCTAAACAAGTGAAACTAACTTCATTTTTTAAAATAAGAATTTAGTACATTTTGTAAAGTTCTGAAAACAAAAATAGATACCAAACTAGTTTTTGTTTCCAATTTTCAATTTTTTTTTTTAAATATTAAAAAGAAAACCATAAACATAAATGAAACCAAACATACCCTAAATAACTTTTTGTTTTCAAATGAACTCTAATTTGTTTGGGATATAGCACTAATAACTATATATAAAACAAAAATAAAAATAAAAAATTAGAAAAGTACCACCCACCAGAGCTGAAAGTTCCAGGAGGAAGCAAAACCATGCAGAGTGCTGATGAGGAGAGAACAACTGCACTAAGTACTCCAAGCCGTTCGATCAACCACTCATTTGCTGCAAAACAGTGGAAAAATGGGCTGGCATTTATATCAATGAGGTCAAGATTCTTTACGAAGAATCGATCCTCCTCCCCAAAAGCTCTTATCGTCATCAATCCTGCTATGGATTCAGCAAGATGGTTTGCCACAAAAGACTTTGTTGTGCCATTGATTCGCATCAATTCTTTCGCGGCGCTAAAGTAGTATCTCTGTCGTCAATAATCAATGCCAGTTTAACATTTTAATCATATTTAATGCAAACCATCTGATTTTAAAATTTAAAAAAAAAAGAAGAACATAATTATATCTCCCAAGATTACCTGCAAGAGAATTGCCAAATAAATCATTGGTATGGAGATGAACAGGACTTGCCAGGTAACAACAGCCAACACAGCAAGATTAACATAGGTATTTATGGTATCCCCAACACTGTAGATAAAGCTAAAGGGAACATCAAGATCAACAATACTCAAATCTGCTGAAACCTACATAAAAAAATGAAAAAAATAACATAAGAAAACAAAGAAGAGGAAAGGGGGTTAGTTCCATGAATATCAATGCCCAAAACAAAAAAAAAAAACACCATCACAAAAAGTATAACGTTTTGAGATACTTACCCGACTCAGTATCCTTCCCAAAGGCGTAGAGTCGTAAAATGACATGGGTGCATGAAAAAGGGAGTTTAGTAGCTGTGAAAACAATGATTTTGACGATTGCATACCAAGAGCAACCGTGGAGAGAGATCTAAAAAGCAAAATTGGTGTCGAAGTAAATCCGATCACCAAGTAAACTACAATCAATTGCAATGTGGTGACATTAGGATTTTCAACGTTAGCGGCCATCCAAGAGTTTTGTAGTATCGAACCAATCACGAATGCAAGGTAGCAGATAGCAGCCGCGGAGAAAAACAAGTAGCCTTTGTTCTGATTTAAGTATTGCATGTAAGGCTTAAGACCAATGCCTCCTACTTCTCTCTCTTCTTGTTTAATCAACTGGTCCCCTTTAGATATCTCATCAGTATGAGTTTTTCTGATCTCTTTGGTAGACATTTCACGCTTCTGAGAAGAAGATACCTCTTCAAGCCTTTCAGCACCAGCAGTTTCTGTGTGTGCATTGACAAGGCCTTGAAATTCTCGACTTGAAGCCAGTAACTGATGGTAAGGAGCTGCGTGTAGAATTTCTCCATCCGACATCAACTGTCAACCAAAAAAATTGAAATTATTACGAACTGATTGCTTAATAGTGATGAAACTTAGCAATGTCATAAACAGATAGTTCCCTTTGGACACAACTTCTAGTAGAAAATAGAATATTCACTTGGCTATACACACTAAATGAATTCTGTTCCCTCAAAAATTTACTTGTGACAAATCCAAAAAAGTTATATGGAAGTATGACTTCATTTTTCAGCAATCAAAGCCTACTTCCTAAACTCACAATTAGAAAAAAATAAGAAGGTTTTGAGGTACTTCAATTTTTCTGTACTTGAAACCTTCATATTTCCATATAAACCTTCATACTTACTACATTTTCCTAATAAAAACAAGTAACTTTTCTGGCATTTTCCAAGCACGTTGACTTTTTAGCAGCAACTTTATCACAAAAATGATTATTTATTTATTTTTATTAAAAAAACACTAATAAAAAAGCATTGGGCAAACCAGCCATTAGAAGCATTCATCAAAGTTATATGGAAGTATGAAGTTTTTGAGGTACTTCAAGAACAGGAAAGTCTTGCGGTCCTAGGATTCATTAAAGGTATAGACAAGTACAAGTTGGGAACTGTAATTAAGTAATTCGTTAAAAAGGAGTCAGTCTCAGTCACCATTTCATAGAAATCATCTGTAAGCAAATAGGCTTAATTTTAAGGCTATGTCATCGTGGTTGGATGGTCGAATTGCAGCAAGAATGAGAAGAAAAAGAAGGAAAAAAAAAAACTAATTTTGTGAAGAACAGTGTGAAAGACAGCACCCAAAGAAGTTAAACTGACCAAAACAGAATCAAATGCAGGAAGAAAATCCACTTGGTGGGTGACAAGTAAGACCGTCTTCGTTGAAAGAGCTGCCATAACATATTCCTGCCACAATGAAATGAATTTTCTCCATAAGCTTGTTGTGGCCAACAAGAATAAAATTGCATACACTAAAAAAAAGTAATTACATTACATTAAATAGGCTCGAACAAGTGTGCGCATCAACAGCACTGAATGGGTCATCCAACAGATATGTATCAGCATCCTGATATAGCGCACGAGCAAGTTGGATCCGCTGCTTCTGACCACCGCTGAGATTAATTCCTCTTTCGCCTATTTCAGTGAGGTCACCGTAGGGTAGCAACTCAAGGTCCTTCACCAAGGAACACTTCTCTAATGTTTCTTGGTATCTCTCATTATCGAATCCCAACCCAAATAAAATATTTTCTTGTATAGTTCCTGTCTGGATCCATGCCGATTGAGAAACATAGGCAATAGTCCCGTATACATGAATCTGAAAAATAGAGCAAATGGATCCAAATTGGTCATCGGCAACAAAATTTTCCCCAATCTAATGAAGGGGGAGCAAGTTACACTACAATAAATTGACACATAATGAGGAAACAATTAGCGAAAGAATAGAACTCCACACCTTGCTAAGTTCTATTTTTCTAATGGCCTCTTTTAGGGCAAGAACAGTGCAGGATTAGTATAAAAATAGTACAGTGGTTGTGAAGTTGAGGTGTACTTAATAGCTATGAATGAATGAGAGGAAGTGAGCAGCAAGAACTTACGGTTCCCTGGATATTTGGAACCTCTCCCAGGATAGCAGCCAGAAGAGTCGATTTGCCTGAACCGACCTCTCCACATATAGCCACCTTTTCACCAGCTTGAACCTCTAAATTAATATTTCTAAGCGTGGGCTTCAACGGACTCTCTTCCCACGAAAAACTAGCAGATTTGATGAAAATGCTGTGGCTCTTCATTCCCATGTTGCGTTTTTGCCTGATTTTTATGTTCTCTACCTCAGGCGCCTCGAGAAATTTCACAATCCTAGCGAATGCAACTTTCGCTTGAATAACAACCCCAATTACATCAGGAATACATCTAACCGGCTCTTGAACAAGTCGTAAAGTCGCTACAAATGTGAAAACATTACTAGCATGCAAAGGCACTCCGAGAAAATAACATGCCCCAAAAGTGGCAGTTGAGACAAATACCGGGGATGTCCAGAAGAGAAAGCTATTGTATGCTTTAAGCATTTGAACTGCCGATAACCATTTATATTCCACTTTCCTCAAGTTTTCGATGACATTCTTGAAATGACTTTCCCACGCATAGAGTTTCAACACCTTCATGTTCACGAGCGCTTCTGAAGTAGCCTTGAGCCGGTCATCTTGGGCCACCATGAGCTTAGACTGGAACTTATGCTGCAATTTTGCAAGCGGGGCATTGCAAAGCACAGTAAGAATTATCACCACCAAGGATGCAATTGTGGCAAGCCCGACTGCGCGGAATAGGATTATTAAGGCAAGACAGAGCTGGAGGCTCGTTGTCCAAGTTTGATGAAACCAAAAAGGAAACTCTCCAATCCTATAAGCATCAGTGGAAACATAGTTCATTATCTCACCGGCCGAATGCATCGTTTTCGAAGCATTGGATAGTCTTAATTGCTTCTTATAAATGGCTGCTGTTAGCAAAGACCTCACTTTTAGACCAATGAGTCTGCTTCGGAAATACCATTGCCTCTGTGCTAAGGACTCAATGCTCTTAGAAAAGAAAAGTAAGATGGCCAACGCATAGCCCTCATTTCTGAAACTTTCTTTGCCGTCGGCAACCTCAATGAAGGTATTGAGAATAAGTGGACCGGTAGATAGAGTAACAACTGTTAGCAGTGCGAACAATCCCGACATAAAAATCTCCTTCCAATGGCATGAAACTATTGTCCACAAAACCGATGGTTGGGATGATGGGTTGAGTTGTTTTTGCTCATTGAATTTCTCTGTGAATAGCAAGTAACAAGCTTGTGCTTGATCTTCCTCGCGCAATTTGGGTATATCTTCATCCTCAAGTGTTTTCTCCCTCCCCCTTTTCATCAATGGGTTCAGCCACCAAAAGGTCATTTTATGGAAAAACCTAGCTTTCGCAAATGGAGTAATGGTGACAACAGACTCGGTTTTACTACTTCCATTGACCTCACTGTTTAAGGGGGTACATCGATTCTCATCAATTTCTTCATATTTGTAACCCATGTAAGTGCATAGCAGCAACAAACTTGCCCCTAAAAAGGACAGTATATCCAAAGCTACCTGAATTGACACTTCTTTGATAGAAATGGCGGTGATGAGGGATAAACAAGAAGCAATTGCAGTAAACAAGAAGGCAAGAATTGACAAAACCCGCAATGATGCTTTTGGGAAATGTTTTCCTCTAAGGCTAATCATTAAGCCCATTGGCAACCATGTTAGTCCTTGAAACAAAACTAGCAACCACCAATGCAGAGGTGAAACAGACCGGGACAACCTTAATTTATCGACTAACATCCAAATACCCAAAATCAAGTATACCAATCCCAAAACCCCATTGAAAATGGCAGATATCATTTGCAAACGCGTAGCACCATGAAAGTGCTCTGATGGTTTCTTCCGAATGACATTGAATAAGAACACGGCCACGAGCAATATATCAAAACAAATAATCATGGCATGGTTGATACACGAAGAAGGCCGTGTCACAAACATGAAATCAATGGTGCAAGGCTCTGCCTTACCAGAAGGACAATCAGATTCCCCACAAAACACAGTCCATAGGCCCTCCATTTCTTAGTCTCAAACCCTCTTTGCCCAGCAAGAATTTTGCATTGCATACAAGAATCGGTTTAAAAGCTAAGCAATTCTAAATATATTTGACCTTTAGAGGGTTTAAAACAGAGTACAATGTGTTGCTACTAGTAATTGTAAGAAAAAAGTTTAGGCACATAGAAACTGATCACAGAATTGTTGATTATTGGCTCAGATTCTCCATGTGAATGGAAGCCATAGTTGTCACCAATAGTGGCTGCAAACTGAAGAAATAGAAGCGAGCTACGGATTTTGGAAATGAGTTTTCAACCGAGCTAGATTTTTGTAGTTTGGCCATCGTCAAGCTTGTCGGCGGTGGCCAAACTTGACTTTGGCTCTCCCATTTTGTGTATAAATGGGAGTGCATGTGATGGGTTTAGGAAGTAGCAGCAGAGATGTAGAAGTCAGAGAGAGTTTTGCGTGTGTGTGACTGAGTTAAGTTGAGAGTGTTGTCTCCGCCTCCACTATTGTATTTGTGGTTTGTTCTTTCTGAAATTAGTAAATCTATCCGTGGACGTAGGTTCATTGTCGAACCACATAAAACTTGTTTAGTGTTTGTTTATGAGTCCTGATCACAACAAAAATCGAATACAATACTCTCAGATGATAATTAGAGGGTTTAAACAGAGTAAAGAGCAAAAAAAAAAACTAGGAATATAAAAGTTGATCATAGTGTCAACACAATTCTTTCACATAAGTGATTGGTTTATAGAGATGAACTCAAACCTCCTTGCTTGTAATGAGAAAGAAGAACCAGAAAAGCTCAACCCTGTAAAAACTTTTTGCTTCTCTTCCCCCACAAACTCTAAAACTGTTTTACAGATTCAAGAACAGAAACATATATAGTAAACCAATCTGCAATAGCACAAGCTCCAATTCACAAACTTTTTATCCACAAAAAAAGAAGACAAGATATGAGTTTGTGGGTTTGGTATTATATATCTATCTATATATATATATCAACACTATCGTGAGAACCGAATATACAAATTAAGTAAATAATTAAATAAATAATTTTACAATCTCAAATATTTTGTTGGTGAATTTTAAAATACAAATTAAATATTGTTAGAGGGTCTGTTAATTAATTTTAAACCGAAAAAATTTATGGTGGAAATCTCTAATTTAGAGGTAAGATTTATTATTTAAAAAAAAAATAGGGGGCAAGTTAGTGAGAATATTTTCATCTAATAATAATTATATTTTATTTAAATTAATGATGAGAGGAAATATAATAAAATAAAACACAAGATATTAATTTAGAATATTTTGAGTTTAGTTATATATAAAGCAACCCTAGTTTTCCAAACAAAAATCCTAACTCTTATTATAATATTTTTCCACAACACTTCAACACATAGAGATGAAAAGAGATGACAAGGTAGTTGGGTGAAGGGTGCCTAAGATTGTTTCAATTTTGTGGTGTCCATTAGCAAGGTAATTTTCCTTACTATTTTTCCTTTTTGTTCTTGTTTTCTTTATCTTTTTCCTTGTTGCCGTTGTGAGTATTGCATGGTTGGTGGGTTTTGGAATTATTTATATAGATGTACCTACATACATACTTATACTAATGTAAACAATAAGGTTAATTGGTTAGTCATATATATTACATGTGTATCTCGGTTGGTTTGTGTGAGAGTAGTGCATCTTTGGCAAAGGAATTGTTGGGTATGGTAGGTGTGAAGTAATAGGGCTGTTGCGGTGTGTTTTGATGATTAGATATGTAGGGATATTATTGTTGAAAAAATTGGTTTATAAGGCTTATTTTGGGCCAATTTTGAGCCCAAAATGGAGTGGGCCCCAAACGTCTTTTGGAGTGGGTCCAAAGAGGTGAAGTGTTCCTTACCGCATGGCAAGTCACACGGTGAAGACGATTCGTCAAAACCATTTATGAGTGAATGGAAAGTTGATGTCGTTTTTGGGTTCCTAGAATTGAACAAATTCAAGAATTAAATGTGGGTTTCCTTATATGGGTTATTCCACATTGAAAATTGAAGAGAGCTTTTGTGAGTATGTAAGCTCCAGACTACAACACTTGGGTTGGGCCCCAAGGGGCACCCCAAGTTTGTAGAAGGGAGGAGTTATGGATAAAGTGAACCTTAGCCTAAACCACCACACACGCGTGCCACCGTCGTCCATCCGGTCAAGCCATGCCAGACGCGGGTGTGGGTCTAACATTAACTTTTTGGAAAAAATTTATTTGAATTTTTTCAATAAATTCTTGTAGGAAAAATTAATTTAAATTTTGAAATTTGAATTTGAAATTCAAATTTTGAAATTCAAATTCTCTGCATTTTATTCCATAACAGATTTTTGAACCCGTACTGCCTTCTCAAATCTGTTCAAATCCAGACAGTTTTCAGATTCAAAAAAAAATGGACAGTTAACAGATCTATTTGAATTGGTTTGCACCTGTTCATTTACTTCTTCAACAGATTTATTTTCCAAACAGATTAAAACTGCTTTGACAGGTTTTTTAACTGCCAGAAATTGCCCAGCAGTTACCAACGGTTTACAAATTAATCTGTGTCTAGTTCTGTTCAAATTTTGAATCTGCATCTGTTGAAACAGTGCAATATCTGTTCAGTTTACAAGTTGTACCTGTTGGATTCAAAATAACACCTGTTCAATCCTATTTATACCTGGGATGTTCTAGCATTTGATCTTACCCGAAATTCAGTCTGCATTTTTGATATTGCTGTCCAGAATTTTCTCCTTTGCATTTTATTCTTCATTCTAGTTTTAGAAAAAATTTAAGAGAGTATTGAACACAAGGTTCAAGTTCACCGTACAAATTTGTTTGGAATGCTACTACAAATTTGTGAAGATCATTATATCCTGGGAGATAGACGCCACTCAACCGTAAGCACCGTAGCGGGGCGAATCTGTCTTAAGGACAAAATGTCACATACTCGACTTGGTCTTTTATCTTTAAATTCTGTTCGATAAATAAATTCGGTATGTTATTTATTTATTTGTTTGGTTTTGTTTCAATTTATTTTATTTACACAGAAAATTGTTCCAACAATTATTTAGATATCTATGTATGTAACTAGAAATATAAAGGTATGCATGTGGGTTTTCTTATTTCTTTATATTTAATTGGTGGATTGGTTATGCTACAAGGGAGTTAAATTCATATATAAAGAATGGTGAAATTCTTAATTTAAAAATTCTACACAAAATCACAAATTTTAAAAATCAAGAAACTATATCAAATGAATGAATTTTGAACTAAAATTTTCACAGTAGATTAATTACATATCTGAATTTTATCATAATTTTTTGGAGTCAAAATCCATATAAACTGATGCATTCAAATCTGTCTAGAAAATTGATTTAAAACAATAAGTTCGGAAGCATCGTTCTCTTTGGGTATAGATCTGAAAATTATCAAATTAGTGTCATTAGAATTGGTTACGAGTCTAGTTTCGTAAATTTTTAGCCTTGCATTGATTGCTCATGTGTACTAAGAGAACCATTAATTTCTTTAAAATGCTGCAGAAAATAACTTGTTTGGATGTAATTAATTATAAATAATTATTTTAATAAGTAAATCAAGTGAAACCAATTGGGTTTGAAACTTAGGATATATTAGTTGTTATCTAGAGGGTTTTGGAATTTTTTGAACAATGTGTAGTGGGTTTTGTAATTTTCAAAGTTAGCGAATAAATTGGGAAAGTTTGTTTAAAACTTTGTTTTATCTTAAAGTTACTTTTAGTTAAGTTTCGATTGGAACCCATGTCTTGGGTAATTTTAGACCTTGAAGAACATGAGCTTAGGTAATATTTAAGAGTAACGGTGAGTTGGGTTGAGCCGTGTTAGTGCGCTTTAGTTTGGGGTTACTTAGTTCTTTATTAGTTTTAGTACGTTTGTATTAGTGGTGACGTGTAGTTTTAATACTTTGTTCAGAGCAAATGTTGGACTTTCATACTTTATTCGAGGATTATATTATTTCTTTTTTAGGTTAGTAATTTCACTAATGTGTGCAGCAGATAAGGGCTGTTTTGATAAATTATTATATTATCAATGGAATCAAATTATTTCTGAAACATGTGTGAACTTGGCATACTGTAAACTATTTGTTTTGGTCTCATGTTTATAATGGTGAACTACCATGTTTTGCGAAACTAATGTGTATTGATTATTGGGACCATCTATATATTTTAGTCCAGGGAAATTATTCCACTGTGTGTGGTGACTCTGGCTACTAGGGAACAGGTCCGGGTTGCGCCGTGATGACTTTAGTACTCAACGATTGTAAGGAAAAGACCTAGGTTAGGCTAGGTGACCTTCAATCGGATTGTCTTAGAGAAAAGGCACAGGTTGCCACCTTAAGGATGACTCTTAGTTCAGTATTGGATCCAACGGGACTTGTAGCCTTGAGAACTGTGTGGCATGTTACTTGTTATTTCTTGGTACCCAGAAAATTATTGGTGTTCATGTTGTAATCTGTTTTCAGTGAAAAATGTCATTTATCATGTTTTTGAGAGACATGAGTATTTTAATTGTTGAATTGTGGAACTTTCTTTTTGAAACATATTATCTTTATCAAAACTGTATGCCAATCTAGTTTTAGTGATATATATCTTATTTTGGAATTGATCCCTGTTTTCAAAACTATATATACTATCCATGTTGCTACTCACTGAGCTATCAGCTGACTCAGTTGTTTATCACTTCCAAGTGTTAGAAGGACTTAGAGTGGACTTCAATTGCATGGACCTCTAGGACATTCATTTATTTTGTTTTAGAGTGTTATGTCAAGTTTGTGCATATTTATTTTTATTTTTATTGGGGTTCATTTAGGATTATTTTGATATGTGGCCTGTTTATATCCCATAAGTTTGGATGGTTTTGATTACGGTTGATTTTTCCGTTTATAATTGTGGCATGCCACTGGATTGAGCTTGGTTATTTATTATTAGACTTTTGTTTAGTTGTTCAATTTGATTATGGTTTCGTGTTTAGGCTTACGTGTGCCTTGGGCTAAGGCCCTGTGGGCCACGGCCGGTCATATCCGGGTTTGGGGTGTGACAACTATAAATTCAGACTTATGAATCAAAATTTAATCCAAAAAAAAAATAAAAAAAATCAGTGTTCAAATTCATTTTACTCATAAACCTTATACTATCAATATAATTTCTACCACACAAACACATTTGGAAATCAACTAGGTCACCATGACTTTCTTAACGGCTTAGTCATAAGGAAAGGTCATGATTCAACTCTCCTTAATGGGGAGTTGAATTACAAGGCAAGTACATGGTGATAGAGAGGCTAACTCTCATTAAGTGCTAATCTAACAAATGACTTTCGTTGATAAAAAAAAAAATACAAATACAAACACATTCAGAATAAATTATGAATTAATAAGGTGAGTTCATAACATTTTATCTATACTATTAATAAAAGGAACACCTTAGTGGGTGTCTTAAAACCATCCTCCACTTTAATGCCAAGTGTATCCTCCACTTTAACGTTAAGTGTTCATTTTGTCATTAAAAAAAACCATTATTAGACAAATAAAGGGCATGGGACTTGAATTATGGATAAATAATATAATGAAAAAAACTCTTATCACTTGAATCAAACATAATATATATTGTAATTATTTTATTTTATTTAACTTATTTAAATAGCACACACATTACGTAGAGGTGAGCAGTGGATATTCCGATCCGCCCAAACCGACTGAACCGAGCCGATCCGCAGCATTTTGGACAGATGTGTGATGACGAGCAGACGGTTGCAGATTGATTTTTTTCAATCCGCCTAATTTTGGACAGATGGTAGATTTGAGATTCCTTTGGCCACAACCGAACTGCCAAATCGCGAGCATTTCTAGTAATTTGTAAGACTATGTTTTCAATTTAGAAATCCTTTTATCAAATGGCAAGAGTTGATATTTGATATTTT